GGAATTGTTTCCTCATAATCCTTCACTCTATAAAATAACAGTAGCTCAATGTTATTGAATAATATCATCTATCATTAAATATTAAGGACCCAGATTTCTGTCTTAAATGTGATTTAATTTACAAAATGTCACACTGACCCTTATTTGCACAAGTGTTGCAGCTTGGCGGGCGTGCACTAAGCCTTCCAGCATGTGCTGGTGAATAGAGCTTCAGTAACCGGTAAGAATGGATGGCAGGTGTGCCCTCTGCCCTCTGTGAAGGCACGTCTCTGGGACTGGCAGTCATGGCAGCACCTCTATGCTCTGGGAAAATGACTGAATCCCTTCCACTGGTCTTGTCCCTAAGCTCTCTGGGTTTGTCCTCCGGGTGGGGTCTCTCTCATCTGCATCAGGGACACTTCAAAGTCTATCAGCCTCAGACCTGATGCCTTTGTCTTGGTGTTGGCCAGGCATGGTATTAACAAACACTTCTGATCTCCTACTTGGATCAATCTTTGAGGCAACCCCCACCCTCCACTTCCTAAGGAAACCATCCGCAGTGCAAACAATGGGAAAGCAGCTGATTGGAATCCTGGATTGTATTTCAATGGCGGCCAATTTGCCCAGGAACCCTTGGGCAAAGTGACTTCAAGCTCTGTATCTGTAAGTGATATAGTAACACTTTTCACACACTTTTTATATTGGGAAAGACAAGCCATTTAACAAGCCCTCAAAGGCAGCAAGCCCTCGATAACTAAGCCATTGGTGCTGCTGCTGTTAAGTGCAGGATCAGCTTCACAAAACAACCATCAAGTAAACAGAAATTTGAGCCCAGTGAAATGTCTGTACAAGGGGAATCCTGGCTGAAGGTTTAGCATGTTCACATGCAAACATACAGAATACTTTCAAAGGCACGTGCATGATTATCAATACTCATGTTGAAAAAACAAAACAGGATACTTTTAAATATTTATTTTACATTTATAATATGTGTGTATGTGTATCTACGTGTGGGTATGTGCATATAAATGCAGGTACCCAGGGAAGTCAGAGGTGTCAGATCCCCTGGAGATGGAGTTACAGGTAGTTGTGAGCCATCTGAGAACTGAACTTGTATCCCTTGCAAGAGCGGTACCCACTCTTAACTGCTGGGCCATCTCTTTAGCACCTACTACTTTTTGAAACAAGGTTTTTCTCTGTAGTGCAGGTAACCATGAACTCACACCTACCCCAGCCTCCTGAATGCTGGAATTACAACGCTCAACTAAACATTTTTAAAAGGTTTATTTGTCTGCATGTATGTATATACACCATGTGTGCGCAGTACCCACAAAGACCAGAGAGGGTGTCTGATTCCCTGAAATTGGAGTTATAGGCTGTTGTGGGCTGCCAGGTGTGTCCTGGGAACCAAACCCATGTCCTCTCTAAGAACAGCAAGCACTCTTAAACACTAAACCGTCTCTCCTGACTCCTATTTTTAAGTCTTTGGAATACTCTACAAAATTTTTAATTTTACCATAGATTTACCTCCAAACCACTTTCAGCTTGAATTAAAAAAATGAGATTTATGTTTCCCAAATATGCATCTTGGGAAAGGAAGCAGACCCAAAGTAGATGAGGGTGAGAGGGGAAATAAAGTTGTTGTTGTTTCTACAGTTGGGCAACAGTCATACTTTGGAGAGTCAAAGGCAGTTAGAAGGCAAGGATGAGAAACACCAGGAAGGCTCAAAATAAAAAGTAAACAAATTTTAAAAAGGAATTAAACTGACTAGGAAATCTGGAGCTTTCCTGTGGCAATGGAGAGCACCAACAACTCTTGCCTAGAAAGAAAATGAGCCATCAAGTGATAAGCTCATACATTAAATGTCTGAGGAACCATCCTGGAGAGGGAGGAGTTTTCCCATCAAGCACACTGCTCCTCATTAACATACGCAAGAAATGAGATTTGCAATTATGCTATAGAGAAATTACCTTTGAATATTAAAATACAGACACATGAAGCAAACAAACGTATTATAAATCTTCTGAAATGATTAACATCAGATCTGTGGGAGAAAAATCTCAAATATCTTTCAATTCTTTAGTTTTTTAAAATTAGTGCCCTCTGTGTGTGTGTCTGTGTCTGTGTGTGAGTACATGTGTAAGTACATGTGTACATATGCCATGGCATGCATGTGCAGGTCAGAGGATAACATTACCTGTCAGTCTCACTTTTCATGTTGAAACAGAGTCTCTGTTGTTTATTCTCTGACCCACCTGGCTAGCTGGCTACTGAGGATTCTCCTGTCTGCCTCACATCTCTCCATCAGAGGGCTGGGTCTGCAGACACTTGTGCCTGACTTTACATGGGTGCCGGGGATCTGAACTCAGGTCCTCACTTATATGTGGCAAGTGCTTTACCCAATGGAGTCTCCTTAGCCTTATGGTGTTTTTTTCATTTGTTTCGTAGATGGACTATCTGAAAGTCAAAATAGAATCATAGAATCATCTACCATGAGTTATATGAGCAACACTTTCATAAACCTTGCTTTATAACAATGCATTATTAATAATGATACTACAAAAACTCATGAGGTTCTATGTGTGGTATGATTCTAACAGCCACTATGAGAGAAGTATTTTTGGTATTTGTAATATACAGAGGAAAAAAAAAACTGAGGTTCAGAGAGATCCAGAAACTTGCTCAAGGCCAACTAGCTAAGCATAGAGCTGTCTCCCACCCCTGCTTTCCACTGTGTCATGCTGCATGGCCACTTCCTGTCTTGCCTGAACAAACACAGTTCAAGCGAAACACAGAATCATAGGTGACGTGCCATTGCCACGCCTCCCATGTAAACCCTATCATTTCCAAGTCTGAGTTGCAAGTCCTTTGGCTCTGTGTTCCTGTCTGGCCCAGGAAGATGTTTACTTTGAGGTGGACCTTGGTCAGGATGGCTGAGTACCTGCATGTGAACTTGAGACGTAGCCGTTCTTACATGCCCAGCCATGCTGAAACTGAAGGTGTAAACTCATTTGCTTCACGTCACAACTGAAATGGCCTCATCCCTGCTCCCTATCCATGATCTGTTTCAAAGAGGGTGTTAAGGCTACAAGTAGGCTCGTGGAGGTTATAAATAGAACCCTGGGCTGAGGCCAAGTCAGTGTGTTTATGTTTTTGAGTCTCATTGCAACCACTGTTGTAATTATAGACGTGTGGGTGAGGATGGGCACCGATGGACAGTTCCTCCCGTCGCTTCTCTCTTTAAACCCAGCACTGGGGGTGTCTGAGCTGACAGTCCCATCACAGAGTCCCCTGCGCTCAGTCACTCCTGTATCTCCTGGCTAAACTGCAGTGACCAGAGCAGTTAAGTCACTGTATCCCACAGCTACATAGCTTTGGATCACCATTTCCGTGGCCTGTCTTCTTTAGAAGAAGGCCTATAATGTGACATTAAAGAAACATGCTCTTGGCTGGAGAGAGAGTTCAGTGAGTAAAGTGTTGTCTTGTAAGCAGGAGGATCTGAGTTTGATCCCCAGAACCCAAGTAAAAAAGCTGGATGTAGAGGCGAGTGCTTGTAATCCCAGCACTGAGGAGACAGAAACAGGTGGATGCCTGGGTTTAACTGGCCAGCCAACCTAACTGATTTGGCAACGTCCAGACCAGTAAGAGACCCTGTCCCACAAAAGGTTAGTAGTGCCTTAATATCTGAGAAACAACACACACACACACACACACACACACACACACACACACACACAACGCAACCAGTGAAAAAAGACCATCTCAAAAAGCAGGTATTGTACGATGCCAGGGAATGAGGCAAATCCCGGAGAAAAAAAGTACATCCATGGATGCTACGGCTAGGGAACACAGGAAGTTGAAAAGTGATGGTTATGAGTATAAAATGTTATTTTTAAAATATTTTATTATTTGATTTTATGTGTATGAGTGCATTGCATGCATGCATGCATGTAAGCGCACCTGTGTTGTGCAATGCCCTTAGAGGTCAGAAGAGGACATCAAATCCTCTGGAACTGGAGTTACAGACAATTGTTAGCCACCACGTGGGTGCTGGGAATCAAAACCGGGTTCTCTGCAAGAGCAACCAGTGTTCTTAGCCACTGAGCCATCTCTCCAGTCCCTGAGTACCAAATGTTATTTGAAGTTATGGAAGTGTTTTTAAATTGATTGTGGGGATGGATACAGGGCTCTGAGAATGTATTAAAGCCCTTGAATACTGTTCATTGGCTGCATTGCTTGGTAAGAGAATATATCTTCACATACCCAGTTTTTAGATGTCAGAAGTAATACACATAGAGACTGATCCACAGGAAAGTTGAGTGTGGAGATAGCGGTGAGATGGGAGGTATTTTGCCAGAGGGACTGGTGGAGAAGAAGTTGCTCCCAGGAGAGAGTTTTATGCAATTTTACAATTGTAGCTACAGCTCATGTTTTTGTGAAAGGGGCTCTTATATAAAAGACCATAGAGGAAGGTCACAACAAAGTTCCTATAAGCCTGTGTAAAGATTGAGCCTGGACAATGTGGTGATGTCTACTCCTGTGAGAGGATTATAGCTGTAGAAAAATTAACCTGCTTTTCATTCTCTGAAGCCTAGTTAGAAATTGAATCCCACATGATCTTTGGGGGATCACTTGCTCTCCCAAGTGGCAGGATGTGGCGTTTAGTTTTCAATGTCAGCTTGGCATTGCCTAAAATCACCTGGGAAGAGTCTCAGTGAAAGACCATCCAGATCAGGCTGGCCTGTGGTCCTATCTGTGGGGGACCGTCTTGGTTACCTTAATTGATGTGGGAAGATCCAACCTTAAAGCACTATTCCCTTGGTTTGGGTCCTAGACTATAAAAGAGTAGAGAAACTTAATTGAGAAATTTAGTTGAGGACTAAGCATGAATGCACTCATGTCTCTGTGCTCCGGACTGTGCATGTAACGTAACTCAGTGCTTCAAAGTCCACTATGACTTCCCCACCATGATGGGCTCGACTGTGGAACTGCGAGCTAAAATTAACCTTCTCTCCCCTAGGTACTTTTTGTCAGCATGTTTTATCGCAGCAGCAGAAATGAAACGAAGAACACGGTATTCTCTACATTTGCATTTTGTGAAGACCCACTCAAAGGCACTGCAGAGTCTGCCAATCATGGAAGGAGAAAGATAGCTTTGGTTATGGTCGAAGGGAAGCCAACGTCACTCGGGTATTTCTGCAACTGAGAATGAATGAGGAGCCACTGTAACAGGTGCAGTTCTAGACACGGTGACTCAAGGCCACGCAGTACTCCTCATGACCAGTTGTGTTCCATCCTCAGCTGTCTGCCTCACCAGTGCATTACATCTGTGTCTGCCGTGTTTGAAGCATCCTTTCTCCTTCACTATACATGGATAATTCCTACTCCTCAGTAAAGTTGAAGTCTTCTGTGAATTCTTGGGCTACTCTGAGTAGCAATTCATGTGCCCGCCGCACTTTATGGTCCACTATTGAATTTCCTGCACTGTAATGGGATTGTCTTTTAATCAGCCTGTTTCCAGTGGGGCTCATCAGTGTGTCCCCCCAACCCAACTCCTGGATCAGTGCCCAGCGCCTAATGCATAATGAGGAAAAATGAGAGCTGAAAACCTTCACTGCAAAGGAAATTAAGACTAAGAAAACAGGTGCCAATCACATTAACTCTCAGCATCACCCCAGTGAATTGGCTGGCTCACTGAGGATCAGGTAGTGGCTGGTCATTCTGCCCTTCTGCAAGGCCAAGTGCACACCGTGTGCCCCTTAAATGTCTGCTGGGCTGACCAGTTTGGAGTCCTGACTTTCCTATGTTTGGTAGCGTTGCAGCCTACCTTACACATTCTTACTCCTAAGTTGTTTTCGATGCACTGAGTTTAGAACTTCATTTACAAGCTGATCAAAGAATATTGGGGGTCTTGCAGAATGCGGCCCTCTTCACAGCCATGCCATCTTGGGCATGGAAGATCCAGGTAAGTGTCTGAATATGTGATTACACTTTCCTTAATGAGTGAGGACAGAAAAAGAAAGTGCTGAACTGAGCAAAAAGGTCCTATCAATTTAATAAAATGAAGACAAAAATAGAAATCATTAAGTGTGCTAAAAGTGACAGATCTTTGGCCTAAATCAGATACTCAGTGGAGGATGCGATCATGATGTATTTTAATCATAAAGGAAAAGAGCAAATTAAAAATGTGGAGAAGTTCTGGGGCTATGGGGTCAATATAGTATCCAAAAGACACATGTAAAACATAGCATTTCTCTCTCTCTCTCTCTCTCTCTCTCTCTCTCTCTCTCTCTCTCTCCTGTGTGTGTGTGTTCACATGGGTGCGTATTATGTGTGTATGCCTATACGTGAGGCCCAAGGTCAACATCAGGTGTCTTCTTCAATCCCTTGCCACTTTATAATTTTTTGAGACAGGCTCTTTCACTGAATCTAGAACTTGCCAGTTTGGCTGTGGGACTACATATATGTGCATCCATGCCCAATTTTAGGTGGTGTAGAGGATTGAACTCAGGTCCTCATGTTGACAGCAAACACTTTACCAAAGACTGGTTCCTATTTCTAGCCTCCATAATTAGCATTTTGTAATGACTTCTTCAATTCCTGGAACTCTTCCCACCCCTCCAGCAGTGTCGAACTCCACAGCTTGATGACCACCTTCAGTTTCCGTATGTGCTGTGGCTCTGATTCAGCTTGGGTGTGTCTCCTAGGCGTTCCTGTGTTGGAAGCCCAGTATCCGGCATGTCCTGTCTGGAGTGATGGGACCTGTAAGAGTGAAGTGTCCTGTAAAAGGACATTAGGTTACAGGAGCCTGACCTGGGAAACCTCCTGCTGGCTTTGCTGAGGGTTGTTATAAAGCAAGGCCCTCCCATAGACTTGTCTCTTTCTGCATGGAGCTATTTACATTTCCCTTTCTCCATCACATTATGTAGCTGGGGGTGTGGGTTTCACCAGAGATCAAATGGATAGGGATCACCTGATAATGAACTTTCAGCCACCCAAAATATGAACAAAATCAACCTCTTTTCTTTATAAAACATCCTATAGCAGGTACTCTGTCATAGCAACATGGACTAATACAATGTTTTTGAGAATGCATGACATATGTCAAAACAGAAGGTGATTTGTGCCATATTAGAGAGTCTTGAAACATTTTCCATCCCTAAAATTCTTTGGGAGGAATAGCATTTTATCAAGAAACAACAATTGGTGATCCTCTTGGCTCTGCCTCAATCCACTGGCATATGGCCCTCAACATGGGGCAGAAAAGCTGCTTTTGCAGAAGGTGATGGTTAATGCAGAGACCTGTACCTGGTCAAAGTCCTGAAAACAGCTGGCTGATGAGCTCTCAGTTTTAAACAGGACATCTGGACCAACCCCCTCCCTCTCAGGTCCAGGGAGCATCAGGGAAGAGAGGGAACAAAGAATTAAGAGCCAGAGGATGGGGAGGAATGCCAGGAAATGCTGCCCTACAGGCATGGTACTGATGCTGCAACCACAGACACAGCATCACGCCCTCCAGCTTTCAATCAGGGATGGAGGAGGTGCCCATCAGGCCTATCCCTTCCCGAGGAGCTAAAGACAGGTAATGGTTGCTAGAGGACAGAGTGCCATTTTCTCTAGTAGTGTAGCCACTAGGGGACTAGGTGGGAAGAAGGGGTCAGAGAGAAAGGAAGAGCGATACCAGAGGCTAATGGGGTGAATGTAATCACAGTACATCTGTATGTATGACGTGAGGCAGCTAGACAGGACTCCTGACTTTGCTCTCCCCTAGTAATATGCCTGGATGAAGTCACCTAACCCACCAGACTTCACTTTCTTCTGCTGCAAGAAGACAGTAGTAAGACCTACCCACAGACTGGCCAGAGTGCGAGTGAGTGAAGATGTTCATCCCGTGCCTGGAATTTACCATCTTGGAAGAAAGGACAACAGAAAGAAGACTTGGGAGGGTAAATTTGGCCTACTTCACAAACGGTCCACGACCCCACCGGGGCTCTATTAAAAACTCAATTCGGAAACGCAACTTCTGTTACTGCTCTGATCTACCCACTAGGTCATTCCGGTTTCTGCCGGCTTGAGTGGGAGCATTCTATTTATTCACCTAATGACTCCTTCCAACTTAGAGAAGTTGGGAACTGTGACAGCCGCTCCACCCATTGCTGCTTTTATGTCGTGTCCTCTGTACTCAGGAAGGTGTGTCTCCTGTGACACGGCCACATCTGCATGTGAGTTTCCAGCTGTCTGAGCCTCTCAGTACTTAGAAGTCCCAGATTATGAGTCTGCAGTCATGGGGATCAGAAGAGGCTGGACTGGGGGTATGCTGTTAAATCACTGCAGAACCAGGCTACTGTGGGCAGTAAGGCACACGCTGGCCGCCCTGGGCCTCTGGGGCTGGGTTGGATCCTCTCAGTATTGCTGTGTCTTTTTCCATGGATAGCACACATGTCTAAGTTCTTTTTCAAAGTTTCACTAGGGTTTAGTGACACTGCCACCCTCACCAATTCTATTATAAAACACCTTTCAAATGTGTCCCACACATCGGAGGCCAGGCTTCTAAATGCTGACCTCCACTCTCTCAGCCCTGACACTTCCCTGTGTCCCACTGTGACTGCAAGGTCACCAACTGTTCCATCTCACTGGTGCCCCTGAGGCAGGCGATGCTGCAGACCAGTGCCCCGTAGGAAGCTCTGCCTTCCTAAGCACACTTTCCCCCTTTCCCTTGACGGCTCCCTTTCTCGTTTCCTGCTTTGCCTCCTGCCTTAAGTGGGTGGACTAAAAGATCTGTCCTTGCTTTCTGCCCTCACGGGATCCAGCCTCATCCTGTCAGGGTGTTAACGGCCACACATAACCAACTCATGCATTTCTCCTCTTCCGTATCTCAGAGAGTCAAACCACGTGGCCCACTTCATACACTGATCCTTCATCTTGGCCTTTGCTTTCCAGGTTCTCAGTTACCTGTAGCCGATCACTGTGTGAAAATAGTAAATAGAAAATTTGAGAAATAAACAGTTGGAAAATCTTAGGTTGCATACCACAATAGCCTGATGGAATCTTATTGCCCTGCTCTGCTCCCCCTGGGAGGTAAATTGCCCTTGGTCAAACATATCCACATTGAACCATCTCCCCAGCCTGGAAGCTTCCATTTGAGTCCCAGTGCCTCAGCATGCGCTACTCAGAGCAACCTCTCAACACCATGCCAGGTTAGAACACATCCAACACATACTGAAGAGCGAGTGTCATTTGCTGAGAGAGAGTAGAGATCCTGCTAATAGCGTGACCTTTGCCTTGTGCCTCAGCCCCATGCCCTCCAGACTGTGCATCTTAAAGGTCATGGTCATGAGCAGTCCTTATCAATCAAAGCAGCAGGTGGGGAAGGGAAAAATCCTCTTCTGGGATATGGGGAGACATGTGGGTTTCAAAACACTGCAGTTGGTTAAATGAGTAATGCTAATGTGATCCTGCGTAGTAAACACACCCCCACAAAGATCATGATATTAGTTGCATTATCTGGAAAGTAAGCAGGAGCAGCATTTAGCTGCAAGGACAGTGGAGATGTCCATGCTGTAAGCTAAGTTCTGCTGGAGCAGAGAGACCGACACTTCGGGTGGCCTCCTCCTCCCTTCCCCCATGAGAGCAGGCTTTGCCCCCTCTGAGGAAGGGTGTGTGATCTGGGGGAAGGGAAGGGAAGACAGGAACCTGAACACAGAGGAAGAAAACAAAGGCCTTCTTTTCTCAAACAGTCACTGGCTCTGGTTGGGCAAGAGTTTCTCAAGAAATGAGAGTATCCCTCTCAGGAAGCGCACTTCATTGGAGGGCGAGTAATCACCGCGTGCTCGTCAGGGATTGGTTTTTCCCTTCTGTGGTGAACAGATGACCCTGGGCAAGCTTGGATGCCTTCCCCACAAAGCCAGAGAGTCCTCTGGATGAAGCCAGCGCCTGTCTAAACGATTGGCACACGCTGGCTGGTCCCTCCGCATCTCACGATGTGGATGACGCACTATGGCAAGCAAGCAAAGAGGGTCCGCAGCGTCTCCGAGTTTCCACAGAGCCAGACCCACCACCCCAGATGTCTTTTTCCAAACTGAAGTGACTTTCGGAGTCCCCCTCCCCTTCGCTCTGCAGTTTACTTGACTTCACCTCTGCTCTCTGTGGCCTGGCTCATCCCCAGAATCCTGCATCTGAAGGGTTTCTTATCCTCGTTGGAAGCATTAGGGCAGCCAGTTCACTGCAGAGTCCTGGAGCCTTGATGCAGTCAGTGTTTACATGTGGAAGAGAAGTAGTTTATCTAAAGGAAGAATTCTCTAATAGTGAAGGCTCTGGCTTCTCATGGTGAAATTTTTCTTTTCTTTTTACTTTTATTTATTATTTGTATTTTATGTGTATGCGTGTATTGCCTGCATGTAGGTAAGTGCACCCGTGTCATGCAATGCCCGCGGAGGACAGAAGAGGCTATTGGATCTCCTGGGACTAGAGTTATGAGTTATTGTTAGCTGTCATGTGGGTGCTGGGATTCGAACCCGGGTCTTCTGCAAGAACAACCAGTGTTCTGACTAGAGTTATGGACAGCTGTTAGCTGCCATGTGGGTGCTGGGATTCGAACCCAGGTCTTCTTCAAGAACAACCAGTGTTCTTAACCTCTCCAGCCTCTCACGGTGAAATTTTTCATGTGTCTCTAACTCCTACTTGGTGATGACAGGCATGATCCTCATGCCCTGAGTCAAAGTTCAAGCTCAGGAAACAGCTGGCAGCTTTCATCAAGTCTATTGAGGTGCTCTGGTTCAGTTCCTAGTCAAACCCATTTTCCAGAAGCACCACAAAGAGTAAATTATGCCTCAAAGATCCATCCTTGCCCCATGCCCAGAGAGCCTTAGCACTTTCTTGCCTTATCTAGGCCTCTTCCGACAGAGTGGACCCAGACTGACTGAGGAGTGGCTGAAGGCTGAGACTCAAGTCACATGGTAACCTGACAGCAGATGCACACCCTTCGTCCACCACACATTCAGCAGTCATTTACTAAGCTCTAGAGCCCAGCCTGCAAAGCCCCTGCTGTAATGGAGCTAAAAACTGGAAACGAGCTTAGATTATTTCTGTTTATCCCCAAAAGCAGAACTGGGACCTGTGGGTAGCAGATTTCTGTTCTCTACAACTCACAACCAAGTATGGAGTGCGAAGGCACATCTCTCCCTGCAGGATGGCATGCAGTTGCATGGCTGTTGCTGCAGAAGATGCAGGCACAGGCCTGGACCAGCTCTATGGCTTTCAATCATTTCTTAGAAAAGTGGGAAAGAATTTTCAAACAAAAAATCTTACCAGTATTCTAATATAGAAGAGTCGGGTGCACAGGCCTGGACCAGCTCTATAGCTTTCAATCATTTCTTAGAAAAGTGGGGAAGAATTTTCAAACAAAAAATCTTACCAGTATTCTAATATAGAAGAGTCGGGTTATGGCAGCTAAAGGAGGAAAACACCCCTGGATCCCCCTAAACCCCAGACAACCACACCACCCCATCCAAGCATCTTGGGGATCTAAGCAGTAGGGTGTAGGTCCTCACCCAATTCTCCACCCCCTCCTTCTACTTTTTTCCAGGACACAGTCTAGTAAACGAGAGAGAAAAGGCTCCATGCAGTCTCCATGAACGGCGTCCGACAAAGCCCTTAGAGCCACAGACAGGTGCCTTCACTAAGTCATACCTGAAAATCAGTCTGGCTCCTTCTGCTCCACAGTGAGTCCCTTGCCTGGGATCCTGGACCCTAAGAAAAAACCAAAGGGCTCAGAAAGACCAAAAAGACTCTGAAGGAAAAAGACGAAAGACACGGAATGAGAACAGGACGCTCCCAGGTAACAACTCGTCAAGCATAAACTTGGTTCGTTCTTATTGTCTGGAAACCCCAAGTGTATTTACAAGTGGTTGGTTGGTTGGTTTATTAGGAACATAGGTAGGTAGATATGTAGTTGGACTTGTTTGTTTTGTGGTACTTGGGGATCTAACCCAGGCCCTCACATGTACTAGGTAAATGTTTTACCACAGGCTGCACCGCAGCTCACATTCATTATTTTTTAATACAAAGTTTCTACCTTAACACCCTTCAAGGTGTAAGGAGTATGCATAAAGGACCAGATTTCATTCTCCAGTCTTCAGCATGAAGCCAAAGAAGGATTTTCCCATGAGGCTCAAGCCACTAGGGCCAGAGAGATGGCTCAGTGGTCAAGAGCACTGGCTGCTCTTGCAGAGGACCTGGGTTCATTTCCCACCACCCACATAGTGGCTAACCACTGTTGGTAACTCCAAGGGGTCTGACGCCCTCTTCTGGCCTCCACATGCATTGTATGCATGTGTGCACTTACATACATGCAAATAAAACTCATACATGTAAAATAAATCAAACAGTTTTAAGAACAAGCCTCCAACAGCTCAGAGGCCCCGGAGCTGGCAGCTGCTCACTGGCTTGGGATTGGTGATGGGATGGAGGTGTAAAAGAATGTGAAGAAACCGTGAAAAAGAGGCTGAGGTAAACAGTAACCTAGGAAACAAGCCTAAGTAAAGAGCAGCCACACAGATCTTCAAGTTGCACCACGATCTTGCCGTCCTCCGAGCTGCTGTGATGTAGTTCGGGTTCCTGAAGAGTGAGGCAAAGTCAGGACCACACCTTCTGGTTTATGGTCTTTGAGTCGTAAGCTGAAATGAGTGACTCAACTAAGCTTAAAACTATAGTTTCCTATGGCACAGGATGAATATGGGCCATGATGGGGAGACGTTAGGTTCTCATGGCATTCTGATGGGGACAACTGAGAAGCTCTGCCTTAAAGTAAATTAAGAATATATTTTTATTCCAGGCTTTTCAGAAGCTTGAAAATATTGTGGATTTTGATGGTCCAAGAAAAGCACAGGGGATATAATATTTCTGAATTTTATTTGAACTCTGAATACATTTTCTTTTTCTAGTTATTAAATTTTTGTGCATTTCTTAATCATATTTAGACCTCTCCCCTATCTGTACCTCCATAGCCCCCTGCTGGATTTCATGCATTCTGTCATATATGTAAAGGCCTATTGAGTCAAGTTTGTGTCCACGAATGTCCCTCAGATGGAACACATTTTCTTAATAGATAGAGTCACACCCCTTTTTCCTAAAACATACTGTGGAAGATGTTGTCATGAACCAAACATGACTGAGGGGATGGCTCATTCAGCAAGCACAAGAACTTGAGTTTGATCCTGGGGGCGGGGGGGGGATAAGACACATTAGATGGTATATGCTTGTAAATCCAGCACTGGAAAGGTAGAGATACATGGAACCTTGAGACTCACTGGCCAGCCAGTCTGGCCTGCTTGAGTTCCAGGTCAGTTGACCTGCTCAAAAAAAAAAAAAAAAAAAAAGTGGTGGCCTCCACATGCACGCACACATGCACCACAAACTCATGTGCATCACACACATGACCACCGGAATGTACAGACACACACAAAGGAAGTAAACGAAACATAGAACTAAATTATATGACTTCAGAAATTTATCAGAAATGCCAAACGCGGTTGTACGCATTTGGCATCCCAGCCCCCCTACAGCACAAGGGGAGGTAGAGGCTGGGGAATCACCCAGACACTGGTGGGCCAGCTTGCCTGGAGCACTTAGCACAGCAGACACAGAAGAGAGACTCTGCCTCAACAAGATAGAAGGAGAGAGCCACTCTTGACACTTGTCCTCTGACCACCACATAGTCCAATGACATAATTTAAAAACCTGTGCTCATTAACTGTCATCTCATAACTGCTTTTACTTTTGATTACCAATGAGTTTAAGTATATATACGATCTGCTACCACTGCTTTTGTTTCTATGAATGGTCTTCATTATAATAATGAGTCTTCATTATAATAATGAGGCCTCTACTGGAGTTGTAAGATTTTTCTCATTGATCTGTATAAACTCTGCTGAAGTTACTGAATGTGTTACTTATGATAATTTTCAAAACTTGTTTACCTATTTATTTGCTTTATGTTTTTGCAGGGATTTAACATAGGACCTTACACATACTAGGCAAGCACCCTACCATCGAGCTGTAACCCCAGGCCTCTTTTTACTTTTTCTTTTGAGATAGGATCTCATTAAGTTGCCCCAACTGACCTTGAACTTGCTCTGTAGCCCAGGTATGTGTTGAGTTTAGTGATGCTTCTGCCTCCTGAGTAGCTGGGGTTATAGGCTGGAGCCACCAGACATCTTTTAAGTATAAACTGTCATATCTATTGATGCAAAAATATGATTTCCTTTAAAAAAATCTTCCTTTCTCTTGCAGATATCAGATCTACCAAGTTTTCTCAAGATGTTTTTTTGTTTTTGAGAGTTTCGTGCATGAGTATCATGTTTGCCTTATTTCCGTCCCTCCCAACCTCCTCCAACTCCTTTCATGTCCCCCTCACAATTTCTTCTCCTTGTATTACTGTTACATATACATACATGTATAAGTATACATATAAATATATATAATGTGCTGAGTTTAGCCTGCCTGTGCCTGTGTTTAGGGCTGCCCACAGATTAGATAACCTCTCAGGGCGCTAGTCTTTGCAGAAAACTGATCCTTCCTCAGCGCCCATTGACTGCCTGTAGCTCTTCGTCTTGAGGCGGGACCCCTTGAAATTTTCCTGTCCACCTTGGCAAGTCAACTGGTTTTGTCATTGTGCAGGTCTTCTTAGACGGCCACACTGTGGAGATGTCATTGGTGCAGCCTCCCCATCAGGTCTAGAAAATTAACTAGCAGCAGGTGTCTTGTCCCTCTGGCTCTTAAATTGTTCTGTCCCCTCCTCTGTGATGTTCCCTGAGCCTCAGGTGTAGAGGTTGGACTGTAGATGTGTCACCTAGGGCTGGGCACTTCAGTCACTTATTCTCTGTGGAACTTTGAACTAGTCTCTGGGGCAAAACTCAAAATGATTTTAGGTTTTATTTGTAAAACTTAAAAAAAATGATGTGGTCAGGCACAGTGGCAGATGCCTTTAATCCCAGCACTGAGGAGACAGAGGCAGGAAGATCTCTGTGAGATAAAGGCCAGCCTGGTCTACATAGTGAGTTCAAGGTCAGCTGTGGCTACAGGGAAACCCTGCCTCAAAAAACAAACCAAATAAATAAATAAATAAATAAATAAATAAATAAATAAATAAATAAATAATGGTGTGCTCCTTTCTTTTTGAACTGAATAAAATGATTTGTTGATGACTTTGGGTCACAATTTTGAATAGCATTTAACATTCTCTGCCACAGAATGGAGCATACCCAGGACCCACTGAAGAGCATGGGCAATCTTCCCCATTCTGTGACCTCAGACTCCTGTGATTTGCCAAATGCCACTGATTTTCAGTTTTGATCTCTGTTTTTCCTACTATGGACATATGTCTACCACTCACAGGATTTCTTGCTCTCCCCAGCTCACATAGCACATAGACAGATTTATAGTACAGTTCTTGAAGGATATGTTTAGTTGAGCCTGGGTGGGGCAGGCAGAAGAACAGTGCCTCTCAAGGATGTCCATGCCCCATCCTCAGGACCTCTGAACACCCCATGTTATGTAAAGAGAAGACTAAGGCTGCCATGAGATGACCTTGAGATACAGAGATTACTCCAGATTATCAGGTGAGGCAGATGTCACCACAAAGGTCCTTACAAGCAAAAGAGGAACACAAGAGATTCAGTGTCACAGTGTTTTGATACGACCAGCCTTGAGGCTTTGGAGGTAGGAGGCCACAAACCAAGGAATGAGGAGGGCCAGAAACTGGAAGCTGGAAACCATTCTCTGCCCTGTAACTTCCAGGGAGGAATGTAGTCCTGCTGATCACTTGATTTTTGAGTCATCAAGACTGATTTCAATTGAACTTCTAACCTCCAAAACCACAAGACAGTAAGTTGTGTTGTTTTAAGCTCTGGAGTTTGTGGTGACTTGTTACAGCAACACAGAATGAATGCACTGAACACACCACGTCTCCCTGGGGTGTTGGGGAAGGAGTTAAGCGCTATTAAAACACGGTTAAATACTGTTAAAAATCACTGTCAATAATACTATTGTAAACATCCCTTTCAGTATTTTTTCCCTATAAATAAAGATATTAGGAGCTAGGCTGGGTTGACTCCCTTTAAATGACAGCTATTAGACCCTTCCCTGGTACTCTGGCTGCCTGGAGTGAAAGATTGTCAGCCAAGCACTCAGCTGATTCACCCTCTTGTCAGCACTGGCTACTGTGAACACTCCGTGATCCCTTGAGGAAGGTACCTGTCAACCACAGCTGCCTGCTGCGAAACTACCCCAGCTCCTGCAGGCACAGTTCTGACTATAACTGCTTCAAACAGTGTGCTGGATATTTTGTCCTCACAGGCTTCAGTAACTCTAGCTGACCTGGCACCCCTTTCCTCTCAGAACAGAAAGGACTCGTGTCTCTCAGTGGTCCAGCAGCAGGCCTATAACTGATACAAACACCCTTCTTCATTTGCATGAGAGACTGCTGTCATTGTCCAAACATAGACCTTCGTTTGCATGAAGATCTGCCAGCATAGCTGTAAACACCACCGCTTCATCCCTTCTGTGGCTATACAGGAAGGCTGTTCAGCCCACCATCAGCCAGCCTGGAGACATGCCCCAGTGCTGCCCACTGGTGTTGCTAGTATGTCCATTAGAAAGTATCTCTCCAGTGGTCTTCTCCTGCCCACTTTTGATTGCCAGCCTCAGTGCAGCAGTCTGGAGCAGAGGGACTGTGGGAGTCCAGAGAGAAGAGTCACACTGAAGGGAGCAGGAGAGCTGGAGAAGAGAAGCCGAAAGCCCTGGCCACAGGAAGGTTCCAGAGAGCCACCAAGCTTTAGGGACCAAGGAGTCTCAGGCATCCCAGGCCCAAGAGCTGTTAATATTTGCCACTGTCAATAGCTAAGGATCCCAACCCCCTCAACAACACTTAGCACTGTGGGCTCGAGGTCCCAGCACCTGAGGTCTCTATGGGAACTGCAGTACTAGAAAGAAGACAGTGATGTGTCATCCTGAGCAGTTTTAGAAATAAGCCGCTAGGCATGTCTGAGAGTTTCTAGACTTAGGTCAGTTAAGGTAGGAAGACCCACCCTACACGTGGGCATTCCCTGGGCTGGGCTCCATGAGGGAGTAAAAAGCAGACAGTGAGCTGGACACAGAGTTCATCACTCTCTGCTTCCTGACGGTGGATGAAATGTGACCAGCTGCTTCAAGCCCCGCCACCATGTCTTTCCTGCCATGATGGACTGCAGCCTCAAACTGGGAGCCACGATATAGTCCTCCTCTCTTAAGTCACTTTTGTCAGGGATCTCTTGTCCAGCAATGAGAAAAATCACACGCACACGCACACACACACACACACACATGCACATGCGTGCACACACACACATACACATGCGCACACGCACACACGCACACACACAGATACACACAGACACACATGCGCGCACACACACACGCACATGCGTGCACACACACACATACACATGCGCACACGCACACACGCGCACACACACAGATACACACAGACACACATGCGCGCACACACACATGCACGCACACACACCTGCTGGCTGCTGACACTACTCTCTGTTCCCAGAAGCCAAGAACTATTCAAAAGCTGCCAGGTTGCTAGGCAGCTGAGAATGAAAACCTGGGTGCTAAGCTCCACACACTCCGATTGGGGTGAGCCTCAAGTCTCTGACTGCTAAAGGGTTTGGAGCTGAAGATTTGGAGTCTATCACACCAGCCAAGGCTGGGGCACTCTCTGAGGATGGCCAGCCCCTGAAGAGTGTCTCCTTGCTTGCCCATGATTCAAGACCTCAGCTAGCCAGCTGGTTGACAGCAGTTCCAGGCATCACCAACTGCTATTTTGGCTTCACTGAGGCTTTGTTTCGTCCGCCACCCAGTTATTTCCATGGTTGCTGGAAATGTAACCTACATCTAGATCAGACCCCAAGTAGGACATGAATTTACAGGAATCTCCCTTTACACATCGAGTTGCAAAGACTAGGGCAAAGGCTGAAGTCAAAGGAAGCTAGAGAGACGTAATGCTTAAACTTTTTTTTTTTTTTTTTTTTTTTTTTTTTTTTTTCAGAAATCACAAGGCTGAACCTTCTGCCCAGTTTGGAAGAAAGAAGATGCAAAAGAGGATCCTGGGTTGGCTGAAACCAGTGCCACCACCATTTAACTAATGTCTGCCCTGGGCCAGATAACCATCACTGACTAGGTAAATCCCCTCTGTCTCCAAACACTGGGGAGTTTGAGGGTATGAGCAGCAAAGTATCTTCTTGGCTGAGTTTTCTGAGGATTGAGCTGGCAAGCTGACTGGGGACAGGATTCTGTGCTACCTTGTCTTTTATGACACATGGGTATAGAATGTATCATTCCAGGAAAACTGACTTAGTCCTCAAGAATGGTATAAAATTAAGACTCTTGAGAGGATCTGGAAGAAGGTATCAGTCCTGGGCAGAGGGAACCTGCCTCAAAAGTGCGCCTGGGCCCTCATTCCATGGCTTGCAAGGTACCTGCCCTTTGGCACGCTGTCATGGCAGACCCTGGAGGGGACTCTGAAGAATATTTATCTCAGTATCCTCAGTGCCTGTGACAGTGCCTGGACTATAACAGGAGCTCAGTAAATCCTTGGAAATGTGTCAATGGGTGCAGCCAGAGGGCTTCTGTTATATGTAAGGGCCACTTTGATGAGTATAGTAACATTGATCAATATTGTTTTTAAACAGTCCTAGCTTTAACCAAAATGACTAATTGATAAACTCTAGTTTTCACGTTAACTTAGAAAAACAAACAAGGCATGAACGGTATCTTTTCCCTTTTTTTTCATTTTTGGCTGTGCTAGTAATTGAACCCAGGACCTGGCACCATGAGAAAGTTGTCTGTGTATATGTGTGTATATGTCTGTGTGTGCGCATACACATATGTGCATGCAAGTGCATCTTACATGTATGTGGAGACGAGAGGGCCACATCTGGCATCTTCCTCTCTCACTCTCCAGTTCATCCTGTTTTCTGAGACAGGATCTCCCACTGAACTTTGTGCTCACCAGTTGGTTAGAGTTGCTGGCCAGCAAACTCTAGACATATCCACCTGTCCCTGACCCCCTGTGCTAGGGTTACAGACTATATCACATCTGATTTTTTTACAGGGGTTCTAGGGTTCCAGACCAGGTTGTCATCCTTGTGCAGTAGGTACTTTACAGATTAAGCCCTCTCCCCAGGTCTAGGAAGTATTGTTTTTGCATATGAGAATTCTTTTTTTCTGAGAGGGCAGACCTGGCCTTCTCTGAGTTATATAATAAAATTTAAGATGATATTTGAGTAAGAAAAGGAAAATGGTTAAAGGTAAACATAGGATAAATATTATATCTGAATCATAATTTAATATGTAGTTTTAATACCAATGTACATACAGGAGAACTTAGAAGAGCCTGGTATAAATGTACTCAAGAGATAGTGAAAGTCATTACTGTTACTCAGCATTGTTATATATGTTCTGCAAAGATTAAAATGCAATACTTAGTTATCAAAACAGTAACATAAAAGCATAATTCATAAAATAAGAGGATATTTTGTTTTGCTACTTTATGACAAAACAAAGTGTCGTGGATAATAACAAAGCCAATCCCCTGCATAGAATAGCAGACCAATACACATCGTCATGAAGACAGATCATAGGTTTAAACAGTTCCACAGCTGTGTTCATGACTTAAAAGGTTAATAGTGATTCTTCCACTAGGCAAAAAACAGTTCCTTCAGGTGCTAGTAATATTACAAGTTTGAATTGTAATAGTCTTTTCATCGTGGCTCATGCAGATGAGCTAAATGAGGGTGCCTGTGCAGGGTCTGTCAACATGAGCATGGGCATGCAGGACAAGGGGATGCGGAGATTGGGTATGCTGTACCGTGTGGATGAGGCTATCTTCCAAGAGCATAGAGTTCACTCTCAAAGAAGCTGTGGCTACAGAGTGCTGCAGTTGACAGACAGTTCTCCAAATGGGCGAAGGAACCGGCACTGGTACTAACTAGCAGGGAACTTCCATTAATAGCTTGATGCAACTTGACCTTGTCTGTCTTCCACAGGTACACTGAAGATCAGGTAGAGCATAGGTTAGGTATCCCAGTACTCTTGCTACATCTGGAAGAGTTGTAGCTCTTGACTTTGGTTGCCATCAAAAGAAGAGAATGGAAGGTTCCCTGGGTGTGTTAATGGTTTTGACCTTACGGAACTAGTTCTCAAATCAGGCTACACACACACACACACATGCTTACCCAGAATCACACTTAAAATGCAGACACTGGGCCACATGCATGGCCTGCTCAACTAGAATTCCAAGTGGTGGATACCCATCCAGTTGACCCACGGACAGAGGTATTCCAGCACTCTATCTATAGAACCACTACCTTGGTGGTGTTTCATAAAGAAGCTTTATCCTAGTGACAATGATCCTTAGATAGTGCTCTGGATACCTTTGTGGGCTTCCAATTAGGAGAAACTCCTTCCCTACCTACACTTTGGCTAAACCCAGCCTGACTTCCTCATAGGGTTATACTGGGGGAGAAGAGAATTCCAGACCCCTGATACAGGGAGCCTAGCTCTGATCCAGCCAGGCTTTCGCCACCCACCACCCATGCAAAGGGGCTCTGTGTCTCAAATTCTGTATCTTAAGATGTGAAGATTCACTGAGATGACACCTGTAAAGAGTGTGTGGCATATAGTGGCTCGGTTGATGCCAGGTATTACTTTAAGCGTCCAATGACTCCCCCAAACTATAATCTCGGGACTACAGAGATTCTCCCAAACTATGATCTCAGGGCTATAGTTTTACCAGAAGCCATCTGCTCAGGAAAATAATAAGCTTCCATCTATTGGACACTATTAGCTACTCTTGTGGTGATGTGAGAAAAGGAAGCTTCCATCTATTGGACACTATTAGCTACTCTTGTGGTGATGTGAGAAAACTATGTGGGAACTAGGTTTGTTTGGGCTCCCAGTTTCAGTGTGGGGGGGTAGTGTAGTCCTCCTGGTGCAGCAGGGTGGAGGCCTGCAGGAAGTACTTAGGCCGTAATGGAAGGAGCATGCAGTGGAGACTTCTCACATGGAGGCTGACCAGGAAGCAGAGAACATAAGCCAGAACCAGAGGTGGATAAAACCTGCAAAAGCCACCCCTAGTCACCGACTTTTGCCCGCTTGGCTCCACCTCCCAAAGGTTCCACAATGTCTAAGATAGTGTTACCAGATGGGGGTCGGGTATTCAAACACATGAACCTGTGAGACAGACAGGTTCGTGTGTTCAGACACAAATCCTACAGACATTTGGGATGTTATAGGCAGTAGGTCCCTCACAAGTCTAATCAACAGTTCATCATCACCTAAGCCTCTGCTTTCACACATCAAGTTCCTGAGGCTCCAGAGGTTAAATGGCTCCCCCAGAGTCACCCAGCTGAAAAGGGACAGACACACACTGAGTTTGTGGTTAATACATTTACACCGAGGATTCCCCCAGGCCCGTTTTAAATGGTTAATATAAGAAATGGAGAAAGCTTTGCCCTTTAAAAAAAAAAAAAATCTAAAGAGAGACATTTTGAAACTGCGAGGGACGGTCGGGAAGTCACACCACCCACACCCCCGTTACCTGATCATTGGTGGCCAGACAGAGGAAAAGCCCTACCAACATACCCATTGCTTATCGGCCTCCCCCTTGGGTGCACAGACACTTCCCCGGGTGGAGAAAAATCGCCATTCCTCTCAGGATGCCCATTTCTTTTTCTTCGTGCAACTTAGTACTGGCTCCACATTCTACTGTTCTGGTTGTGGATTAAACTTACCGTGACTCTTCCTTCTCCACTGGAGTGTAAGCTTCTTGAGGGAAGCAATATTTGTCAATTTTGTTTACTCCTATACCCATATGTCTACAATGGACTGGGACCCATTGACAAGGATGAATGAATCTGAATAATCTAGACAGGTGTGTAGCATAAGTGTTGAAAGTAATTAGTATATATTTACATAACTATATGTTCGTATTAGTATAATTTTCCATGTTTTATTTTTGTTTACATGTATGAGTGTGTCTCTGTGCATGCATGCTACATGTGTTGTGGCTACCCAGAAGAAAATGTTGGATCCCTTGGAGCTGGAGTTACTGATGGTTGTAAGGTGCCCGGCATGCTGGGAAATGAACTTGGGTTCTCTGGAAAAGTGCCTTAACTGCTGAGCCATCTCTCCAGCCCCTCATTTTTCAATTATAGGCATTACTATATAATCGTTGTTAATGTATAGCCTCAGATGTCCAGGCATTGCTGGTCTGAAGCTGAGAGGGCAAAGGTACGACGGAGGTCTCGCTGGAAGGCAAACATGCTCCGCTTCTTCTGCAGGCCCCTGGGATATCGTCTGTGCTCTTCCTCGCTCTGCTCTGTGCCCTGGGACTTGATCAATCTACATCATGGAGCATGAAGCTCCCTAGACCTTTGGTTCTGGTTAGAAACAGAACAAGGGTGAGTTTTTTATCCCCCATTCTGGGCTCTTGCTGCTACATCACTGCAGTTGACTGTCCTTCTACCGAGGGCCTTCGGATGGCTCTGGGCCACCCCTCAGGACCCTGCTGCTTCTGGGCTTGTCCCTCAGGCATAGAGCGCTAACAGCTGTCCTTTTTTTTTTTTTCAGGATCTAGAGTACTTCACCTCCTTGGTCTTACTCTGCCCATGGGTGCCTTTCCGGTTCTCTAACAAAATGAAGAAACAGTCTGAAAACTAGGAAACCTGGACCCTAATATGCCAGTCTCATCGATGACCTATGCAAAGTCAGCACATGCTGGGTTCCATGTCTTCATCTGAAAACTAAGAAAATTGGGTAAGGTGACCTCTAACATCTTGTGATCCTAAAAAGTTCTTCATTTAGAGAAGAAACAGGCCCTTTGCCTACTTCCCTCATTGGCTAGAAAGTACTAGCTTGATCTAGAGTCTGGAAAATCCTAGTCTTCCAGGATCTCATCCCCAGGGCTATAGTTGTAAGACCACACTAAAGCTGAGGTTGGTCTATTTCTGCCCCCATGCCATTAAACTAATGCATAGTTATAAGAGAAAAATGAGAACATTCCACTTTTTAAAGAAATAGTCATTACTTTTGACATCCACAATTGATACTTCTCTAGACTCTTCATTCATTCATCCATCCATCCATCTATCCATTCCATAGATTTATTGAGTGTCAATGTGCACCAGGCTTTTCCAGGCATGCAGACATGGGGATAAATGTTTGGTTCTGTGAAGTGCTTAACCAGAACTCTGGGTACTCAGTTACCCCTTTGGCCAAGTGTGCTAAAAACACCCCTGGGGAACTGCACATTCTCCACTCTTCTGTGAGCAGTTCCAACACAGAATTCCTAATTTCCTGGAAGAATGAATTTCTTCCAGCCTATCAATAAGAAACCGGAACATTTACCACTGCCTTAGCTGCCTCGGACTAAGGGTGATCTCCAGATTCTAAAGCGATGGTGTTCAAGTTGCCAACCCAAAATGACAACCAAATAATCAGGCGAGTGTGTAAAAGGACCTTCTGGGAAGTGGAAAATATTTAACCAAACAACACTGGAGCAGTCACGTACGTGCTTGTAGTCCCAGCACTGGGTAGGCACAGACAGGCGAATCCCCAAGGCCTCCTGGCCAGACAGCTTAGCCAAACTGGTAAGCCCCAGGTCCCAGTGAGAGACACTGTCTCAAAAAGCAAGGTAGAGGATTCCAGAGGAGCAGTCAAAATTGACCTCTGTTCTCTACACACCCACAGCCACACCCACACCCACATACATGTATATGTCTTTGAAAAGAACAGACTACAGGCAGTGAGCTTCATCTGACATAACTGGGAAGATAGGTGAGCCAAGCAGACACGGGGCCTGCTGGAGTGGTCACATGAGCAGCTGCGCAGGATGAGCTATCTACCCCTTACAATCCCTTGTCTCTCCCCGTGTCTACAACAGTGGAGGGCTTTGCCTCACTTTGAAAAGCACCACATTCACTGATGTTCTGTTTTGCATATTAATAACCTGGCTTACCTCAGAGAGGTCAGCACAGAGCAGCACAGCCCCTAGAAGAGCATCAGAAACAATCTTTGCCTCATTCTTGACCAGCCACAGCTTCCTGAAAAAGACTACCTGAAGAGAAAGCTATCCCAAGGGGCCATAGAAGCTCTGCTTTATGCCAGATTCTGTTGGATTTGTGTGTAAAATAGGGTGGGAAGGGAATGCCTTCCCTGGGGGCTGCTGTGAGTGTGAAATGAGTGAATAAATATAAAGTATGTATAACAGGGCCCGACACCTCAGTGCCTGTTCCTCCTCCTCCTCACCCCCTGCCCAAAGAACTTCCATGATTGGCTCCTAGGAATTCCATCTTTCTGTCAATCAGCAGTGCACGCTCGTCCTTCTGTGAATTATAAGATATGTTGATGATTTTTCCCAGGTCCTACATTAGAGGCACTTGAAAATCTTAGACAAACATGATACAGAAGTCAGCTTCCACTGGCAATGATTTCACGTCACACATTCCTCCTGCATCATATTCTACCCCTGAACAGAGGAAGATGTGGGTGGGTGGTCAACTTGGTGACTCAAGGGTTATTTAGGTTCATACTCTCATGCATCCAACAAATATTTGTTAAATTTGTGGCATGTTCCAAATCAAGGCAGGAACAACAGGATGAATCAAATGCTGATCTTGTCCTAAGAGCAATTTCTATGCGAAGGTAAAATACATTCAGAGATTCTCTCTCCCTTTCTGGTAACATTCTGTCTTGTGGTGAAGATTTTTAAGTATTTATTTATTTTTAATTGTGTGTGTGTGTGTGTGTGTGTGTGTGTGTGTGTATACCCATGTGTACACACATGCAAACCGGTGCCCACAGAGGCCAGAAGAGGGTATCATTTCCCCTGAAGCTAGAGTTACAGGCAGTTGTGAGCGACCCAAAGTGGGTGCTGAGATAGAACTCTGGTGATCTGTAAGAGTAGCAAGTGCTCTTAACCACTGAGCCTTCTCTCCAGCCCCCATTGGGGGCAGGGGAGGGGCATTCTAAACACAGATAGAAACTGACATGGGACATAAGAAAAGCTCAGCTCAAGCTCCATGGCTCCACAGTGACAAGAGAAACTACTTTCTGCTGGGTGCTCGGACAGAGTGTGGCCCACCACTGTGCCCACTATGTACAATGAATTGTCATAGAGTGCCTTGAACTTGAGGATTGGGGCTTTGTCTAACAGGTTCTGCACACGAGAATTGTAATGCAAACCTACTGTGTTACACAGTCTGCCTTTATGTCGATCACTCCCAGAGTATAATCCCACAGCCTCCCTTCATCCCAGCCATGTACAGGGACCTTGATTTCAATGCAGGCTCCTTTACTCTCACCCCAATCAAACCCACCGTAAGTCACTTTTTCTTCAGGAACTCTGGGCAGAAGCAGGACAGTCCTCAGAAGAGAGAGCACCAGTGTCAGGGGCAGCATATATTTGACATTAGACGCCTCTGAAGTCCTGTAGTTGTCTGTTCTGCCTGTGTCTAAAGCTGCAGGCCACAGCATTGCAAATGTTTAGTTAATGATAAGAAACCCACAGATTTTTAAAAATATTTTACTCATTTTTATGTGTGTGCACCTATAGCCTGCATGTATATAAGTACACCTGTATCCTGCAATGCTCATGGAGGTCAGAAAAGAACATCAGATCCCCTGGGACTGGAGTTACAGACGGGTTGTTAGCTGTCACATGAGTGCTGGGAATCAAACCAGGGTCCTCTGCAAGAGCAGCCAGTGCATTTAACCGCTGAACCATCTCTCCGGTCCCAAATCCACAGTTATTTAACCACCAAACCTCAGCTGGCTGGCAGCAGCAGTTGGTATAGCCTCCGTTTAGTTACCACACTGACATCTGTATGAATGGCCTGGGCTGGCATTGTGCCTAGTGTGATCTGTGAACTGCAACTAAGAAATTTCAACTGAGACAGCAACAGAGATTTAGTAACTAGACTCATCAAGGAAAAGGATGATTTTTAGATACAATATGTCACAAAAAGCAGGGTGTGGTGGCGCACGCCTTTAAATCCCAGCACTTGGGAGGCAGAGGCAGGTGGATCTTTGTGAGTTTGAGGCCAGCCTGGTCTACATAGTGAGTTCCAGGACAGCTGGGGCTACAGGAAGACCCTGTCTCAAAAAGACAAAAAAAAAAAAAAGTGAAATTCATTTCACGTTTGAAGCATGCCAATTTTAAATGGATGTGTGTGTGTGTATCTGTCTGTCTGTCTGTCTGTCTGTCTGTCTGTCAATGTCTTTCTGAGTTGCATCTGTGTTTTTGTCAACAGAGCATCATCTTGTACTGTCGTACCGTTCTGGGACTTGGCTAACTCATCAACGTCTCACAAGATGGTTATTCTGAAAAGGTCAGCACTGTGCCAACCCTCCCACAGCCTCTTCTTAGGGGATCCACCCTACCCACATTTTCTACTGAAGGGACAGGCCCAGGAAGCCACGTGTGGTACCAAGTGCTCCACCTTCACTGTTAACAGATTATTGGCCCTCACTGAGGAACCCAAGCCAATGGCAGGCAACCCACAGGCTGGTCAAAGAGTTACAACCCACAGTGAGAAATAGGCTAGACCAGACTCAGTCTTAGGACACTGAACTTGAAACACAAACTGCCATCCATTAGTTCCAGGACCAGCAGAGGATGTGCTGTTTTGCCTAATCACAGAAGTTAAAAAACAAAACAAAAAACAAACAAACCCCATAAGCTGCACCTTCTGAAGGCCTGGAAGCCCCTTGGAATCTGGAACCACCTCTAAGTTCTGGTATCCTGAGGTCAAGATTTAACGTTAACCCCTGCTCTTAGGTTTCCATGAATATGGCTTTATCATTAAAAAAAATAGCATGATATAACATAAGGCAAAACCTGTTGTCTTGGACAGATTCTTGTACTTTGCAAGAAAACAAGCCCTGTTAAACCCATGGGAAATTAAAGCCTACTGCCAACTGAACTGCTGGGCCAGAGGGCCTTCTGGAGAAAGCAACAGAAGTGAGCAGAAGTGAGACAGACCGGCAATGTCCTAACCATCACTAGGAAGACAATAGGGACCAAAAAAAAAGAAAGAGAGAAAAAGACAAAAGGAACTGAAAGCCTTTCGAGATGATTTGGAAAGATCACGTGTGCACTTCCCTGTTCAGTGTGCAGCAACTGTGAGCCAGCCATGATTGGAGAGGGTGTGGCCTTACTGAGGCGTCTCTCATGAATGAACTCCCACACACTAACGACCACCCTCAACTAGATCATGACGGCCTGCTGATTATGATATGCCAGATGCACAGGAGCCACAAGTGATGGAAGCAAATTCACAAGAAAACAAAATCCTATTCAAAGCGTTCTCAGAAACAGGTGCTAGATGGGGGTGTCTCTGGGGCTCTGGTTTTTGTTTCCATTCAGCTTTGGAGAAAGATGATGCTACTCTATTTTAAAATGTATGTCCCTATACTGTGCATTCTGAGTGTGACTAAATAAAACTCCATTCTAAATAGAGCATTTCTCAACCAAAAATATTTCATGGTTTGGTGCTCAACACAAGTTGGCCTCTATATAAATATCTATGTTTAGAAATGGAATTACCCTTACATTTAATGCACAAAAACATCACACTAGTTTGAAAACAGGTCTCATCACTTACATGAACTTGCCTGTGCCTGTATTGTATGAATTATATCTTTTCGCTCTGCTGAAGCAGAGTGTTAAAGTGGTTAATACGTCTTGTGAGACCTATGGGTCTGAGTTCAAATCCAGCCCCCAGTCGTTCCCTTGACTTGTAGGTTTGCACATGTTACTCCTATAGTTTATTCCTAAAGAAAGTATGCTGATAATAATAGTACATAACTTACAGGGTCTTGTAAGGATTAGATGAATTTGTGGACATTGATGGCTATGTAACCTACACAGTGGGTTCACATCATGGGGAGCACAGAGGCCAAACAAAGCAGAGCCAAGAAATGAGAGTGGATGGCAATTTATTACCTGCTTCAGGTAAAGAGAATGGAAGTTATTTCCAAGCAATGCTCTCCTTCAACAGGGGAAGCATGGGAATTTGATAAACGGAGTCTATATAGATCTATCTGTATAGGAAGGCACTTTAGGGACAGGCACGTTGCCCGGCATGCTCAGTCAGGGAGTATACTTCTGAGCATGCTCACTTTAGGGTCATTGGTCAAGAAGAATGGTGGACACAGTCTTCTGCATGCTTAGCGAAGGACATGGAGTACTTTCAGAAGGTTAGAATGGTTGACAGGAACCATTCTGAGCATGCTCAGTTTGCATCATAAAGATGGTGGGCAGGACTACCTCTGGGCTTGCTCAATTTTCTCTTAAAAAGAAAAAGGCTCCCAAACTTTACTGAAACGAAAGGCCACAGTCATGATTTGCTCACATAGGACTTTCTCCCTGAAATTGCTTGTCCCACCCCGCAGCCAGAAGAGTGATGCCAGGATCATACGATACGTTCTATCAATGGTTCTACTATTATTTCAATTATTTCATCGGACTTACAGAGCAAACCGTTTAGCCAGCACTTACTGAGTCCCACTGCACTCAGTGGGGCCTGGTGTAATCTTGTTGGAAGTTCACAAGGAAAGTAGGAATCATCCCAATTTTACAGTCACAGAAACAAGGCTTTCAAAAGCAAATTAATGTGTTGCCTGTGTAAGACAGCAGAGCTGGGATTCATTAATTCATGCAATAATCTATTTTTATTGAGTACTGGTTCTGGTGTTCTGGGTGCTAGAATACTCAAGGAACCCCAAATTCTTACCCTTGCATAAAATATCCTAGATTGGGGGACAGCCAAAAATCAAGACATGTCAATAAAATTTAGAGGAGGTTACAAGGTGGATGTACTAAAAGGAAACTAAGCAGGGAAGGGGAGAAGGGTTAGTGCAGAAAAGGATATGACATCACAACGTAACTGTCACTGGAAGAGGAGGGAGGAGAGCAGCCATGGGAGTGTCTAGGGAGTAGATTCCAGGTGGGAGAAAGCATGTGGAAAGGCCCTGAGCTGGGTGACGACTAGTATGCCCCAGCTACCGTCAATGGAAAGGAGGAAAGAATAGGAATGGGGGCAAAGGGGAGGCCCTGGCTGTACTGGTGTTCGTTGAGAACGCTCCCCGTTCACCATGGCACGAGACATCTGGACAAGCTGCTGACAGGAAGGCCACCTAGCCTTCCAACCTTTCCATCTTCTGGGAAGGAAAACCCAGCCTTGTCCTTGACAGGCATTTCCTCAGAACTAGAAGCCATCTAACCCACTCAGCAGTCTGGCAGCAGCCTTGACAGTGTGCGGAAGTCCCTCCCAACGCCACGTTGTGGTCTCTCCAAGCTCATCTCCGCACCTTCCTATGTAAGAGTTTCGATTCAAGGTCATTTTTGGTTCCTCTGTTGCAGACTCAGAACTAGACCTATTCAAGGGTAGGAACAGGCAGACACATTAATAGCCAGACCTCAGTAGGAGTTGTGTTTTCCATTTCCTCCTCCCCCATGTTTGTTTGTCTCCTCGTCTCTGTGGTAAAGGTGAGCTTGTGTGGTATTTTCAGATGACACTTAAAAAGGTGACGTGTGGATGGGAGGATGACGGCCTGTGTTGGAACCTGCTCTTCCCCAAACTGTTTTTGGAGGCGTGGGAGTTGAGCTACCTAGGTTCAAATCCCCATTGCTTCAGCTAGAAGCTGAATGACTTGAGTCAAAACATGCAAACTCTCTGAGCCTCGGTTTCCAGATGTTTTCACTGGGAGTGTTTGATATCTGCTTCATAGATGGATCATGAGAATTCAATGAGGTCATTTAATTGTGTTTCAGAAATTAGGCAAATGATGTAGTGCCTCCCCTCTCTTGGGTATGTTTTTTTCCATGGTGAGGATGTTCCAGACACTAAGAGGCAGGAGTCCAAAAAATGTGGTTTTCTCTGCATTTCTACTCAAAACCAGATTGGAGTATTTCTCACAAGCTTCTTCTGCCTCTGGGCTCAGCGCTCCGTTCATCTCTGCCTGGGTGGTCCCAGCCTCCCAGGCCCCTGAGCTTCTTCAGCCCACCCAATTCTCTTATTACCTTCCCAGCAGTAGAAACAGAGCTTTCCCAACCTCAAATTGCACCAAGGGAAAGCTTCGCAAACCCTCTAAATCTGTTCTCCCTTCTGGGTAGTCTATCTTTCTGGAGGAGGATACATGGAGTTTGATGAGTTTTATTGAGTAGCCCCACTTATTGATTTTTATTTCCTGTAGAAAGGAAAAATATTACTATGCAACTTAGGTCAGAAAGTTCTCAGGATGGAACACAGTAAGCAGTCAACATGACCATCGGCAGCATCAGAAACGAAGGACTAAGTGGCACGTTAGGAACAACAGCAACTTTTTACAGGGATGTCCAAAGCAGGTGCCTTGGGATCATGAGAAACTGTCTTGGTGACGTGTCTATAACTCAATAATTTAAACAAACTGAGTAGCTCCTAGTGACTCAGATCACCATGGGGGAGATGAGGTGACACGTCTCAGCAGCAGACCCCTTTCAGATTATGATGTTAATTAATTCCTCTGGACTGCCATTGCCACAGGCTCAGTATGAAACAGCTCAATGGCTTTGAGACAAGGCCATGAAATGCCCTTAAGGAGAAGCCATATGAAGGATGCTCACTGGCAAAAAGACTATTGCTATGTGAGCAACAGTCCCTGATGTCCTTCACTTGCAAACACCATTTGAGATGTATCAGGGGTTTTTAAGAATGTAGGGTTGGACAAGAGGGCCTGGCCTAAGGAAGAGACCTACCAAACCCATTCTTAGTTCTAAACCAAAGACATGTCTGCTGAAAGACACGTCCAAGAATAGTCCTAATTTCCCACACCTGAAACCAACTGATCGTCCAACAGGGTAGAATGGGTAAGTTGTGGTATATATGTGTTCCATGAACTGCTACTCAGCAGAAAATCTTAAAGAAAAACTACTGTTACCCAAACAACTGGAGTGGATATCAGAACACACTGAGCAAAAGGAGCCAGAGAGACAAACCACACACCCTGTGTGATCCACCTTGCAGATGTGTGAAGCAGTCAGAACTAATGTTAGGAGATGCGCGGGGGCACTTGCGTGGGGCAGTTGCCGTAGTTGCAGAGGACCACAGAGGAGCCAGGTGGATGCTCTTGATTATAGTGATGGTCTTGGGTGTGCACCCGAGAAAAGCTCACTGTCCACATACTGTTTGTGCAGTATTCTGTAAGTCATTCCTTAATTTAAAAAGAAAAAAGCAGTGAATGAAACAATGAAGAACGGAGGTAAGGCAGAACAGGTATGTGTCTGAGAGACTGGGATGTTTGGCTCCATGCACTTAAAGCACAAAGATCAAACCAGGGTAATCAGTGTGTCCTCAGAAGCATCATTGCACTGCTTTACCTGACTCTGTGGTTCAGTTCTCACCTCCTCTTATTCATTTTGGATGCTAGAAAGAGAATGCATTTTCTGGTTGGCTTTTGAAGATACAGACTTAAGAACTGTGGCTCTCCTGTAAGGAGAATGTACATCTCTACAGTCAGACTGTCATGGGCTCTAGTCCCAGCTCTAGTAGACCACATGTGTCCAGGGGTATGCAGGGTGATGGGGCTGTAGTCAGGAGGTTGACCTCATCAGTAAGGGAAGCAGCTTCAGAAGCTACACACAGAATTCTATCATTTTGAAATGAGACACATGTGATAAATGTTTGAGGTGATGGATATGCTAATGACCCTCATCTGATCATTCTCGTTGCATTTATGTATGAAAGAGCACCCTGGACTCCATACACATGTTCAATCATCATGTGGACTAAGAGCAGAAGAACCAGGGAAGATATCTGAAGCAACAGAAAAAGGAGGCTCAAGTGGTCAGCAGCTTCTTTGATGAGTGGTGAGATTATACTGGTGCACTTGTCTGTAAATACCATAGCACAGGCTGGCCTCGAACTCGTGATCCTCCTGCCTTCAGCCACTTCAACACATCTTACCCACATAGGCCTCCTATTTTTGTTTGTCTGTTCTTTAAGACAGGGTCTCAAGTAGGCCAGGCTGGCTTCCAACTTGCTATGTAGTTGAGGATGACCTTGAACTTGTGATCCTCCTGCCTCTACCTCGATAGTGTTAGGATCATAAGCACACACCACCACACCCAGTTTTCACATTCTCCTTTGGGAACTATACACTGTTCCTATGGGACAGATAAGTCCTCGTGTTTGCTCATTTCTGAAGTCCAGAGAAGTTAATGATTTATTCAAAACACACACAGTGAGTGAATTGTAAAGTCCATGTTGCAAATAAGGCCTTCTGACTTGTAGCCTAGAGCTTCTTCCAAGGTGTGAAGTTAATTTACCCAGAAGTCACCTCTGCTGCAGAAGGCATTGGCATAGCAGTCCAGCACGTGGCATGTCTTGTGGCCTTGGCCTGGTTGGGCAAACCGGGCCTTTCCTGAGTTGTTTTCAATAAGCAAATATTCCTGACAC